GTTTAGCACATACTTTGCCTGTCACTGGTCCATAAACCTGGAAAGCATGAGGATGTTGTTGTTATAATGGCGAACTAAAATCAACCTTAACAATGGGAGGCTACCACCTCTCCAGATTAAACCATGCACAGCTACAGAGCCAGGACTACAGCTTTAAAAAACTTTGCAACTACTGCTTGAGCCAAAGGCAGAGCTCTGTAAGATACCATCTGTAGAAGGACTCTTGTGTTCCTACTAAGCTGTAGTTGGCCAATAGAGTTGGCCGCCACTTCTCTCTTTCTCTGTCTCAGGCATAGTACCCAGGACTCCAGCTGAAGTCCAGCTGTGGGCACTCCACATCTCTGAAATCCAGGCCCAAAGTGACTGCTCCTGATCCCATTGAGGTCAATGATAGAAAATTCCCTTTGACGTTAATGGTGCTGGATTGAGTCCATAACTGTCAATGGGAGTAGGATTGGGCCCCAGACTGTCCATTGTTAATGGCTTTATAACAAACTGTTTTTTTCACATAGAGCAGGTGCCTGAGTTTTCAAGGAGACTTAACTTTATGGGAAGTTTGAAGGTTAGTAACAGGCCATTGTAAGCTGGAGGGGAGACCAAGGAAAGTTAGACAAAAGTAAAAAATTCAAATTGGTAGGTTTGTAATGTGCCATAAGATTAAAAATACCTTGAGTTTTCATCATACTTCGCAAAAACATCCTACTGTGCCTTCGGAAGAAATCCAGAAATGTTCAGATCAAGCTAAACATATAGGGCAGGACAGACAGGACTTTATCATGGAAAGTGGTTGCTACCCTAAGTATGAAAAGGCTACTACTTCTCCATACAGAAATAACCTTAAACTCCAGTTGAAAAGACTGGTTGGAATTGTGCACTTCTAGCCACGCCAATGCTCAAGTGTCACATCACCCTGCTCCACTAGGCTTGGTATGGTGGGTGCCATAAAGCTTGCCTATAAATAGAGTACCTGTGGGCAGCACTTTCATGTAATGTGCTGTGGTTTTGTTCCTTTCATTTCATCCCAAGTAGCTTTCTATTCTAAGCATGATTGAATGGCGAGGCACCTGGCACTGGAATGCTCCTGCTGTCACATGCTCCATGCTTACCCGCTGAAGGGACGGCCCTTTCGGGGTTACATAGGCTACCTGTCTGGGGGCTTGGCATTTTATGAAACTGGTGTAACACTTCAAATGCAAGTGCTGTATCTTCCCAACCTGCAGGCAAGAGTGCAGGTATCCAGGAGACCATGTATTTGCTATTCCTGGCCAGCTACCACACTCATACTGAACTTATGCAATGTGAATGGTTGTCCTAGCTTCCAAGCTTGTGGTTAAAGAGCCACCCTTGGCTACCCTTCTTTATAGCTTAATAAGATAATGGGGGAATTAGGAGATCTGCATGCTGTTCCCTGCTTTGTAACCTTGAGCGAGTCATTTAAACCCTCTTTGCCTGAGATTCCCATCTGTAAAGTGGGGTAATAATGACTTCACGTCCCATTCGTGAGATATAATTCATTGCCTGTGAAGTACCTAGAGCTCTTCAGATGTAATTTTCATACACTTACTTTGCCTTCATCATACAAAATCTCTGTCCATTCACTTACTTTTCTTTTTACAAGTAATATTGAAAAGGGAACCACCAATATTTTAATAAAAGGGCACTGGTCCAGGTTCTCGGGTACTGAACACAGCATTGCTACATTTGATCCAAAACTCAATTCAGCTAAGTGCCATACTGATGATAGCCATATTTATCTTCCCAGATCCCAGGGAACAAGTTAGGACCTATAGCAGTGCCTTTTAGCTGGTGATCTATTAGTCCTCAGACCGAAAGCCCCATTGAGCTAAGCACTTAAGTGTGTACTTAAGGCTGAGCATGTGAGTAGTCCTATTGACTTCAAGGTTTGGCACTCACTTAAGTGTCTGACTGGATCGGTGCTCAGGAGAGGATTAAAAAGATCCTGTTTCTTTCTAGCTGACTGTCTTCCTTTTTCTGTCTTCAATGTGTCTGGCCCAGGTGGAGGAGTCCGCCATGATTGGAGTGAGCGGTTATGTTGAGTATCTCCGTGAACAGGAAGTGTCTGAGCGGTGGTTCCGGTACAACCCGCGGCTCACCTGCATCTACTGTGCCAAATCCTTCAACCAGAAAGGCAGTCTAGACCGGCACATGCGTCTCCACATGGGCATCACGCCCTTCGTCTGCCGCATGTGCGGTAAAAAGTACACCCGCAAGGATCAGCTGGAGTACCACATCCGCAAGCACACAGGCAACAAGCCCTTTCATTGCCACGTTTGCGGCAAGAGCTTCCCCTTCCAGGCCATCCTCAACCAACACTTTCGCAAAAACCACCCTGGCTGTGTGCCTCTGGAGGGGCCGCACAGCATTTCCCCCGAGACCACCGTCACCTCCAGGGGGCAGGCGGAGGAAGAGTCTCCCCCGCAGGAGGAAGCTGTTGTGGCAGGGGAAACGGCACAGGGATCTGTGTCCACCACTGGGCCAGATTGAAACGGGCTGTGGGGGAGGACCCTCTTCCCGTTTGGCTGTAAGCAGTCAGCACCGAAACGGCGGGCTGGTACTGGTATCAGTGCAATGCCACCACCGGACGGGATGTTGCCAAAACAGAAGATTAACAAAAACAAAGTGCTAAAAGCTTTCCCCCTTTTCCTCATCTCCTTGGGAAAAAACAAAACTGGGTCAATCGACTTCTGATTCAGGGATCGACGGGATTTTTTAATGTTTTTAATATATTCAATAGCGATCCAGGAGAAGCAGTCGTTTTATTTCTTGACCGCATTTTGGCTCAGCACCTCGGTCTCTGTGGTGGTGTTGGCTGTAATGGCCCTAATTCAGTGAGTGCAGTGCACAGGTGTCTGTCTTCGCAACAGCTGCTGGTCCATCACATGAGGTAGCAGGGGCAAGGAACACTTACCGTCCCCTTTTCCCAGGTAGTTGTCATGTTAAAGAAATCTCACTCTCCTGGTGGATCTTGCCCTGCCTGAGTGTATTTATCCTGTCTTATTTTGGTGTGTCTCTTTTAAAATTTTAATTAAACCATTATTTTAGGGCTTTCTGCTTGCCCTTTCCAGGCGTATGGCATTCTGCCCGCTGGTTAAAAGCAGGCAGCAACCTTTGAGCAGTATTCTAGAGGTCAGCAAAATCTGAAGCGCTTAGGCTACTGAAAGTAAAATTAGCAGCTGTGAGGTTTGCATTAGACTTGTCTACATTTTTGGGGGAGGGGATTTGGGGCAGGGTGCGCTTATTGGTGCTAGTATTAATAGCACAGAGCATTCCAACTTCCTGACTGGTTTCTGCACACTGCAGTGCTTCACATGTTGCCAACAGTTAGGAAGAGGTTTCTTGTCTGGATGAATTGACAAACGAGAGGCTGGCTACCTAAGTCATCTTTGGCGTCCCCTGCACTTGGTCTTACATAATAGCAATACTATATATCGAAACAGTCCAATCCCAGTGAAATTATCATGGGTTGTTGTTTTTAACTCTGTCTCCGTGTATTAGTTTGATAAGTTTATATAAATCAAATGCAAAAAAAATGACATTAACTCCTCATAATGGTTCAGGAAATTCAAAGTTGTTGCTCCTACAGTAATCGTAACTCTGTCCCTTGCACATATTATATTCCAAGTAGCTCTGAAGTTAAGGGTAAGTGTACCAACCCAGAGAGACATGCCTGCATCATGTCTCAGACATGTTTGCACGTGCGTATGTGTTTATAAATAAAAAACAGTGCAGGTACATAGGTGCAAATTCAAAAGAGCAGATGTCTTGATGCCCTTTTAAAAAGTCTTTAAAAATATGCAATAGTTTAAGAGTTGGCTTTGGTGCTGGGTTGTATGTAAGTGCAAATAGGAATGAACTACTGGTCCTACTGCTTTTGGAGCTTGGAATTAGGGGACGCTGCGTGTCTGAAGGAAGCCTGTCTTCTGAGGGAACATAGTGTGTGATGTGGGAGGATGAACATTAGGCTGGTGGGAGGAGCAAGGAGGCGTCTGAAAAACAGTGTAAACATTAGCACAGAATTGGCGGACAGGAGACCTCAGTTTTATTCCTTTCCCTCCTAGTGACTTGGGGTACATCTACATACCAAAAAAAGACCTGTGGCAGTGAGTCTCAGAGCCTGGTCAGTTGACTCAGGCTAGCAGGGCTCATGCTGCAGAGCTAAAAAATAGCAATGTAGACATTTGGGCTCAGGCTGCAGCCTGGGCTCTGAAACCTGGCAGAGAGGGAGAGTCTTGGAGCCCAGGCTCCAGCCAAACCCGAACATCTACACTGCTGTTTTTAGCCCCACAACACAAGCCCGAGTCAATTGACCCAGGCTCTGAGACTTCTTGCCACAGAATTTTGTGTTTTACTGTGTAGATGTACCTTACAGTGTAACCTTGGGCAAACCAAACCTTCCTGTGCCAGTTTCCCTATCTGTAAAACGGGGATAATAATACTTCCCTACCTCACAGTATGCTTGGATGGAAGAATCTCTAGAAGGGAAAAGTATTATTATCCACTCTCCTTCTGTGTAATATAAGGGTCACGCTGCCTTCTCCACCTCTTTCCCAGCTAGCGAAGGCTGTGGTAGTGTGGTTCTGTGTGTGTAATTTAGGGGAGGCGAATTGGAATAGGCAGTTTGAATCCGGTGGTGCCATGATAGACTGCAATGAGGATGCTCTCTCAGAGGGAAGCTTTGGGGATGTTCTGAGGTAGGATAGTTGCAAAGTACAGTTCTGTTGATTACAGTAGAACCTCAGAGTTATGAACACCAGAGTTACAAATTGATCAGTCAACCACACACTTCATTTGGAACCAGAAGTACACAATCAAGCAACAGCAAAGACAAAAGTAAAAGCAAATACAGTACTGTGGTAAATGTAAACTACTAAAATAATAAAGAGAAAGCATTTTTTTCTGCCTAGTAGAGTTTCAAAGCTATATTAAGTCAATGTTCAGTTGTAAACTTTTGAAAGAACAGCCATAATTTTTTGTTCAGAGTTATGAAAATTTCAGTTATGAAGAGCCTCCATTCCCGAGGTGTTCATAACTCTGAGGTTCTACTGTATTTAAAACATAGACATTGATGCCGTACCACCTGTCAAGTGGCAGAATAAAACAGTGAAAGCTGTTCTAAGCAGTCACCCCCAGGACCATCAAAAGTCAACAATCTAGTGAAGGTCAAACAAAATAGGACCGGAAAATTTAAGTGTGTTTGAAAGTGGCCACAGAAGAAAGGAGAGAGGTGGTTGTTAGTGTGGATTTCTCCAGAATCAACGCAAGAGGGGATATGGGATGCACAGAATATGCTGCTTTAGTCATAGCTTTTGAACTTACCAAAAAAAATCCAAACTATCCTGTTCACACTAGAGAGCATCAGAAAATCCTTTGTTACCTACAAAATTTTAAGTGTTTAAAATAGAACTTTTAAAATACTACCAACTGTAAAACATAAAATTATTTATATACATATATAGTGGGAAAGTTTCCCTGCTGAGCTTGCTGTGAAGAGAAGGGTGAAGGTGCAGTAACTGCTATACAAGCAAAATTTCTCCGAAGCCGATGGCAACAAATCCATCGAGATTAAGCGATGAAGGGCTGAAATGAAATAGTGAATGCCTTGTTCGTATGGCATGGCTGTGAGTTTCTTGAACAGGTTTTTACTGTATTGATACTGTGAACAGAGGCGATCCCAGTAATCTAGGATCATATCAGCACCTCCTTGCTTGCTGATTCACTCCTCTTAATTGGCCTGCAAGAGCCATGAAATTGTTTTTTATTATTAGCCTAGGCTAGTCTAAAAAATAAACAATAATAAAGCTTGTGAAAGAATTTTTTGTATGTGTGCAGCACTTGCCGTTGTACAAACAACCATTTCTGATTGCATGTGAAAGAGCCAATATTCTTGCCCAGGCCTCGTTGAGGTGAAGTTTATAGCTTGTAGCTCGGGTAGGTGTAAAGTATGGGAGTGGGGATCATTAATACTCTTTTTGTACATTTACTGAATGTGTATGTGTGTGTATTTGTGTGTGTGGAGATCCTGGTGTCTCTAGTGCTTTCTCTAACCATGCTGAAAGCTATCTATGCTAGCAATTTGAGAACCAGGTCAGAAGGGGCTGTTTCTGAAATTATCATCACTAATGGTTCAGTTTTCTAGTGAAAATGAGGCCAAGATGGGAGAATAGAAATGTCTTGCCTACAATAAAAAAACTACTCATTTTTCAGCAAGGGTGCAGCTCCTTTGAGCAGCTTTTCATGACACAGTGATAAAAACTTTAGGCCGTTGTACATTGGCAATCATACCTTTGTTGCAGCTCCACTGATGTTGGGGAAAAAAGGGAAATATTTTTCTAGTATAGACATATCCTGGATTGGCTGGGGACCTGGCTTTGCATTTCAGTGTGTAACTGCAACTCTTCACCTTTGCCAAACTGTGATTTCAACCATGATTTAAATGAGGATGTATAGAGAAGAGCTCTGTTGTACAATATATTAATACTTCTGTAATTAACATTTCTGTTAGAGCTTCAGAACCAGGGCTTAAAAGTCCACTTGCCTACGTGCCCCTGGCAAGAGAGGAACATGGATCATCAATTTCTGCAGAATATTGTTTTTCTGTAATGGAAAAAAAATAAGTTTCTAGTTCTTGACGGTTGCAAAGATAACCTTCCAAATGTGAACCAATGCAGGCGTTTTCTTGAGTCTGCAGAAAGCTTTGGTCCCTTCACTGCTGGCCATAGCTTTGCCGAGTAGCAGCAGCATGAAATTAATGCCACTCTGGGCAGTTTCGCTGCTGCCACTGGGTTTTCTGTGAATAGCTGTGGAAAAAACAAGAATCGTGTCAATATTGTGCTGCTGCTTTTCAGGAAAGCTAAAGCTCCTCCTTTTGGTCCTCCTTGCCAGAAGGCTGGGGAAGGGCAAATTCTTCCCCACACTCTTCCAGTAGCCATGAGGCTCTGGGGTTGCAGGAAGGGAAAAGAGAGCTGCTTCTCTTTTCCCACAGACTGCTAGAGAAGGGTGGATGGCTGTACAACATTTATTTATATCTCTAGCCAGAGGCTGATACAAAAGATAGAGCCTTCTACCAGGATCCAGGGATAGCAACCTGATAAGAATTCAAGCAGTTGAGCTAGAGGTGCAGCTCCTACTTATCTTTCGTATCAGTCTCTGGGCTTCTCATCAGGTTATTGCCCATGGAGTTCCCTGTTGGGCACCCACTGATCATTTTTCATTCTCTGGTCAGTATGTTTAGTCTTCTGGCTAGTCAGGTCGGTAAATTTTTCAAGCCACCTTCTATAGAATTCAGTTTTCAAAGGCCTGGATGATGAAATAGAAATGGAATATGGATAATTTCACGTCTAGATCACTAGTTTAAATCCCACTAAGACGGGTAGTGACTAAACTTTGTTACCATCTGACAGTTATTCAGTGCAGGAAATTCCTTTTGGAACTAATTGGCAGTCTTTCCGAAAGTCTTAGCAGAGAGACCGTGGATTGAATGAGCATAGAGCCAGGATATGTGTAACCCCACATATGGTCCTTCCAGACCAGGGTTGAAACAAATTGACTGTGAAAACTCTCTCTCCTACTGCCTGTTCTGTATCTATCCTGTGACACACACATGACCTCACTTTCCAGTGCTGTCGGTGCCACAACTTTCACCAGTAATAAATTCATTTAAAAATGTGGCCCCAATCTTGCAAATGAACTAAGAGAACAGACCCTTACACTTGTGTGGAACCCCTTTGACTTTAATCGGGATTTGTCCATACAGATCCATTTGGAGGATTTGGGCCTTAACTTTTATGTGCCACTGCAGAAGCTGATGAACAAATGAAACTGGAAGATGCAGTTTACTTAGCGCAAATTAGGCCATAAGATGGATACTTTGAGTCATGCATTTTAATTATCAGCAAAAATTAGCACCCAGAAAACCTATTAGTTAAACTTTATAAAAATCTGCTGTTTTGCACACAATGGTACCTGACTAATTTAGAGGTGTGATTAGAACACGCAGATGATTTCCATTTTCAGGGCTGCTAACTGCTTTGCTTGCTCTTGTGGAAATATTTTGGGAATAGGAGAAGCCAAAGGAATGCTGCTTTGTGGAACCTCAAATTGTTTATGCTTTTAGTTTGGGGTTTTGTGTAATTCAAGTTTGTCAGAGAAAAATATTTCCCTTAATTCTCTCTTTCATGAGAGGATGATCTATAGTGGCTAATGCTTGGGATCTGAAGTCAGAAAATCTGGGCTCTTTGAACAGCTCTGCTACTGATGGGCTATGTGTCGTTGGGCAAGTCTCTATGCCTGAGTTTCCCTTCATTGAAATGGAAATAATGATACTCATTGGGGTGGAATACATGATGTGAGGCATAACTCATTGATGGTTGTAAAGCGCTTTAAGATCATCAAGGGAAGACTCTAGAGCTAGCAAAAAATGTTTATTATTTAAGCCATTGTCATTCAAGGGAAATTTTTATATAAGAAATATATATATTTGTAACCAAATGGAAGCTAGTACTATGCAAACACTACAGGCTGTTGTTTGAACACAATCCGTGTCAGGCCTTTTAGGGCTGTTTGGGGAATAGAATATGTTGGCTTTAAAAAGGCAGCAGTCCGGAGCTCATGTTGTGCCACAGCCAGGGGAACTGGAACCTCAAATTGTTGTAAATCTGGAGGGGTGGGGGGATGGGACAACCCATTTCAAGTGGGTGATAGATTTGGCCAGAAGAGTCCTCCCATCTCTAGTTACCTTGGCACATTGTTGCACATGAATGAGCAATGAAGTGCATACTGAAAAGGCTGTCTTTGAAAATGTAGCTTTTTGACAAGCATAATGGGAGATACAGAGCCTGGAGTTTGGGAAGGTGGATTTGAAGTATTACAGATGTTAGCTAGAAAAGGACAGAAGGTCTAGAGCAAAGCTTCCCAAACTGTGAGGCATGTCCCCCGGGGAGGGGCACCATAAGATTAATGGGGGTGCGAGGACATGATGGGGCCATGCTCAAAGGCCAGGGTCAGAGTGTGTGTGTGGGGGGGTCTGTTCCACAGGGGAAGCATTTGGGGCTCTGTGCAGCCAAGACCAGGTTCCCTGCCCATCTCGCTTCTCCACTGCAGCAGCCAGCAGTTACCCTCCTCTGCTGTGGAGGCCGGCAGGGATTCTGCGAGCAGGGAGCAAAAGGCTCCACCCTGGCAATAATGATACCCTGCTCCGCCCAGCAGGACCTCCTCCAGCCCCCCCATGGGATCCAGCCACCACAGTTCCCCTGTGACTACTGAGCCCCCCTCTTCCCTGATACTCTCCCTCCTCACAGTTATGGAGGGATGAGCACGGGACATGAATCGACAAAGGGGGACTCAGCAAAAATGTTTGGCAATCTCTGATCTAGAGGACTAGGCAGTGAAATTTGCATGGTTGAGTGGGAGTCTGACTGGGAATGTATGTCTTCCATACCAAGGGTTAAATTAGCTTCACAAGAATCTTCTTATCCCTGGATATTACTGAGTGAGAATGGCTGGGACCTATTGTTTTAGTGTAATTGTGCTGAATCTGGTCCCATTGAAGTAACTGGAAATCTTGCCATTGACTTTGATGGGACCAGAATTTGGCCCATTGACAGAAAGGAGTCTGATGTGCTTTGTACCATTTCTCCATGGCAGGTAAGATCTCTGCTTCTGGCGTGAATCTTCAGTCTTAACTTCTGATGTAAACTCAAAATATTCCTAGCCAGAATCTTCATTGCTTTATTTTACTTCCTATTCCTGGGGATTCTAAGATTTCAGGTTTCTTGCTGTGTTCTCCTCCTCCAAACTGTGAAGAAGTTACTACTGTTTCCTTTAATTTATTTTGTTCTTGTTCATAAAAGTCAGTCAGTCTGTGATTCGGGTGTATCATCAATGTCACCATCCAGCGCTTTGGTATCTTGTATGCCCTGGGAATGATTGCAATGGATAAATATGTTATGGTGGGGAGAAAAGAAGCCTTGGATGAAGAAAGCAGAATTTTTCTTACTCCAGCTATCATTAGGGATGTATAAACCTTTCAATATTAAGTTGCGCTGCAGTAGTCTAATCGAACTTTAGTTTTAATCTGGTCACTAACTATAGCTTGCTAGATGACACATCTTGGCAGCAGAAGGGCACTTGTAGGGGATGATTCTGAGCAGTTCTTAGATGTCTTATTTACATCCATATTTCTGACTTGAGACCCAGCGTTGGTGAATCTCTTAGGAATCTGAACCTTGAAACCTTTGAGACTGGGTGGGGAAGAGAATGGATTATGGATTAAAAAAATAAATTTCTAAATTGTATTTTTCTCTTCCAAAATAGTTAAATATTTATATTTTTGGAGAAACAAGCTTTCTCCTTTTGAATCTCTTACTGGTTTCTCTGGTATCTTCCCTAGTGTCTCAGAGTTTTTCTAAGTGTGGCTTGTACGGTTAGTATCTAATTAGATGGGACAGATTACCCCATTACAATCCACACCCCTGGCAGCTGACAGTCCCTAAAGAGGGTTTCACAGCCACTTCAGAAGAGGCACGTATCTTATTGTGGTGGCTGACCAGAGAGCTCTCAAGATGAGATCAGAGGGATGGCATCGGGGCTGATGGCTCTCGGTATTATAGCTTCGCCTGTTTGCTAGTTCTTTTGTGCATTGAAATGAGCTGCTTTTCTTTTGCATCTGATAGCAGCACCCTTTAGGTCTACTGGCTATTGACAAATCCCTGCTTGGCATGATGGGAAAGGGAAAGCTGACAAGCAGTGACATTAGCAAAGCAAATTGCGTCTGTCGAATCATTTTGACTCTCTTGTAGCCACAGTAGAACATTAGTTACTACCGCTGTGATTGGCCAATAATGAAATGACTGTTAGATTGCAGAGAAGTGGTTATTAACCTACCTTGAGCAGTCACATACGTGTGCATTCTTAGCCTGTTACAGTCCTTAAGAGACCACCTATGCCACCAGTACAGCTGAGTCAGGGCTTTAGCCTGGTATGGAACAGAGGTAAAGCATTGTCTGCACTATAATGTGATTATTCCCCTGACTATTTAATCTGTAATGCAGATGGGTCCTATGAGAAGTATTGCAGCATTTGTATCCGGTTCCCTGCTAAAGCTAAGTGCTGGTTTACATGGTGCAGCCATGCACAGTAGAGGAGAGTGAATTCTAAAGTGCACCACCATGGAAAGGAATAATTATTTATAATTACAAGCAGTACTATGTTAAGGTGGACTAGGGTACTTTGAGTGCATGCCTGCAGGGCCCATGCAGGCCACTTAGCGTACAACACCTTTGGTGTGCTTTAGAATTCACACCCCTCTAGTGCACATTGTGGCAGTGTGTAGACAAAGCCCTAAGTCTCTAGCTGGTGAATCAGAGGGTTAATTGTTAAGAATACGTTGATCCAAGAAGCTGCATGGTGCTGGCATGGCTTTTCACTTTGAAAAACTCTGAGACACTAGGCTTTTCTGTTAGCCATGCCAGCTAGGTTTTGTTGTATTCAGATAATTATGGAGCATATTCTGAAATGTGTACTCTTTTTGCAATAGTAGGTCATTCATCACTGTAATTTAGACATGTTTTTACTTGGTAGGACTGGGAAATCAGGCTCCCAACTGATAGTTATTGTGTCACTCACTGGAGAGAGAGTCCTCTGATCTCACTATACTTGTACCACTTCAGTGGAAGTGGAGGGCAGGGGGGAATGAATACGGAATGGTGTTTGGTCTATGTGAGCAGGTATCTGTCCCAGTCTGCTCACAAAAACAGTCCACACACGGTATAGAGTCCAAACTCACTCCTCTCACATGGTTCTGTTTTATTACCACAGAAATTAACTATAACATATGTAGCTCAAAACTTCTCTCCAGGCTTGGCTGTTCAGTGTTCCTCCTGCTGCATTGCTCAGCCCATACCCTAGATTGCCTCCTTCTAGAAAGCTACTCCCTCTTCCCTTGTATCCAGTGGGGTAATGAGCCACCTACCTCTGTGAGTTAGCAGAACTCACTGTGCATTCCCCAATATAATCAATGCCTGTTAGCAAGATGGGGTGTTTCAGGCCAGCTAGGTACAGTCCAGTTTGCATTTACTGATTCCAGAGACTCCTAATAGACAGTGAAGAGTGGGGGAAGGCTCTCCTGTTCATATCTGGCAAATACAAAAATATTTAAGTTAACCAGTTTCTGACTGTGACCGCTGGATACTATTCTGTGAGGACTGGTTGTTCCATTGTGCTAGACACTGTACAAACACATAGGAAGACATCGTTCCTGCCCCAAGGAGCTTTGTCATACGTCAGTTTTGTGAGGAAAAAATTCCATTAGGCCAAGGCTTCCCATAGTAAATCTCAGCTTGCAGTCAGCCTGAGTCTCTTCTGAGGTTATAATGGACATACTAGTGCAGTGGTTCTCAACCTTTTTTCATTTGCAGACCCCCTACAAAATTTTAAATGGAGGTGCAGACCCCTTTGGAAATCTATTGTCTGAATGTATGTTGAATTCTGTTCAGTCAGATTTCAGGCCAAGTCTTTTGCAGAGCTCTTGGACGTAGTTAACGGACCACAGGTTGAGAACCACTGCACTAGTGAACCCCTAAGTGCAGTTGTCTTTAGCAGGAGCCACTGTAATAAACCAGTTAAAGGGAAATAATATAGGATCCTGGGAGGACACACACCAAAGAATAAATATCCCAGTGGGGCAGAAAAGAATCGTTGAACAAATGGACAAATATTTAAGGTGTACATGGTACTTCTATTCATCTTTGTGCTAAAATAGTTTTAAATCATGTCACTTTCATTAACAAGAAAATAGCCCTTTTTTTTCTTGGAAACGGGCAGAATACATTTAAAATTACACTAATTTAAATCAGCTATAAACCCCCACCCTGATTGCACAGGGGCTTAGTAAAGATACTCCAGGCAAAGGTTTTGGTGGGCGGTCTGGCTATTTAATGTTTGTAAATGCATGTTTATGGCACTGCATCCACATCAGCTGTGACCATCTTGATTGCATAGAATCATTTAGTGTGAATGTGCCACGTTGTTTTACAGCTTTAATGCTTGTCCTGGAAATTTGGCTGCAAAAACTACAGACTTTTTTCCAGTACAATGACTTTTTTGCACTTTTTGTTTATAGTTAATATCGTTCAGTGCCCGTCTCTAGGTGGGTCTCTAGGGCAGGCTGATATCAGTGTTACAAGTAAGGGGCATGTTATAAAATGTGGGGAGAGAGGTTAAGGGACTGCAGTTGTGTGTGAGGAGAGCCAGCATATACCAGAGACGGAGTGGGAACATCAAGTACTGAAGCTTGCTGAATATGGCAATTAGCTTTTCCTCTAAAGTTTTCATTGTGACTGGCCACCTTCTTGCATGAGTGCTTTGGCTTTAGTGTCTCTCTCCAGTGTAGATGGCTGACTACAGATTCTGCTACCTTGGACATCAAGAGCGAACATGTCTTGTTGGTTGGTTCCGCAGCCAAGCCTGTTGGATGAATTGTCTGGCCACCAGCATGGATTTCATGGAGCTTGGTGAAGCCCTCTGTGTTGGTTTCTCTACCACAGAGTCCCAGACTGATCAGAAAATTGCTATTTTTCAATGAGAACTGGACCCAGCCCAGTTATTTGAAAGCTTCAGAGTAGAAAAGCACTTCTCACCATGGGCAGATACTAAATTCTGTCTTCTAATTATTAAATCTCTTTGAAACCCTTTTTGCATGAGGGTTTCCATTGCTCCAGTGTGGTCAAGAGGGTTAATGGCTCCAGTGCAGTGGTTGAAATTAAAGCCATTGTAGGTGTTCAGCTTAATCAGGAGGCGGGTACCTAAAAACTGACCACAGATGCTGTGAGAATGGAGCAACAGAGGGTCCTGTGGCACCTTTAAGACTAACAGAAGTATTGGGAGCATAAGCTTTCGTGGGTAAGAACCTCACTTCTTCAGATGCAAGTAATGGAAATCTCCAGGGGCAGGTATAAATCAGTATGGAGATAACGAGGTTAGTTCAATCAGGAAGGGTGAGGTGCTCTGCTAGCAGTTGAGGTGTGAACAAATTTGACACCATCAGATCAGGATTAAACAAAGACTGTGAATGGCTATCCAACTACAGAAGCAGTTTCTCCTCCCTTGGTGTTCACACCTCAACTGCTAGCAGAGCACCTCACCCTCCCTGATTGAACTAACCTTGTTATCTCCATACTGATTTATACCTGCCCCTGGAGATTTCCATTACTTGCATCTGAAGAAGTGAGGTTCTTACCCACGAAAGCTTATGCTCCCAATACTTCTGTTAGTCTTAAAGGTGCCACAGGACCCTCTGTTGCTTTTTACAGATTCAGACTAACACGGCTACCCCTCTGATACTTGACACCATGTGAGAATGGAATTACTAGAGGGACCAGAGCAGGGTCATCACAGAACTCAACCCCAGAAAAAGACATTTTAATTAGTCTTTCACAGTGATCATTGCAAATGATGACCAAAATCCACTTTTAGCAAGACGGTAGTCATTCAGGATTGGCCCCAAATGCCAGTCACTGTATTATATATAGTCAAATGGTTCAGTTTCCACATGGTGAAATGGGCTGCTCTACCCACTACCATCTGTGAAGGAGAAAATGGCTGGAGAGTTCCATTTACAAATCCTTAATGGGCCCGGTGGTCTCATTGTTCCAGGGCTTCCATTTCAAGTGTCCAAATCAATTTGTAAGTCTAAATGTTTCTAAAAAGCCCTCATGGTATGCCAGTAAAATATGCTTTTGCACACACAAGTAACTGCACAGTTACCCATTTTATGTTCCCTTGTATGTTTGCCTGAGCCTTTACCTATTTGCACATCCACACACATTGTTGGTGTAACTTTAGGTGTGTGTGTGTGTGTGTGTGTGTGTGTGTGTGTGTGAATATAGCTCTATGTATGCACTTTCAATGCAGGGCCTATTGGTCTCTCTCTAGAGAGGGCTAAAGCCCTGTTGTAGCTCAGCAATTTGTATGTTTCTGCCACTAAGGAGAGACGAACAATAATTTCTCCCTAGGTCCTCTTGCTATCGGATGCCTATGGATATTTGTGGTGATATTCACAGCAAATCAGATATGTAGGAAATGATAGAATAGCATTTCAGGGGACAACGCACTACAAGCACTTATGGCAGCCACTACAGTAACCAAGAATCTAGGTACCATCCTTGAATCTGCGTATCACAGCTCATGTATGTCCCCTTTCAAGGTAGTTGAAGCAGGAATAAATACTGAACTCACCCACCCCCAGACCAGAAAAGTCATTAAGGCAGAGCTGCTGGCATTGGTGACGCTCAGGGCACAGCTGGCCAGCCGTTCACTAAGGCCGATTGTCCCAGCCTAAATTGTGCAGATGGCACAGTGAAGTCCTGTCTGAGAGACCACCCCTCTCTTCATGCCATAGGGCCACAGCTGAGAGCACAGTGAGCCAACCCCCCTTCCTCTGGATCAGGGGTTCTCAAACTGGGGATAGGGACCTCCTCAGGGGGTCATGAGGTTATTACCTGGGGGGTCGCAAGCTGTCAGCCTCCACCCCAAACCCCGTGTTGCCTCCAGTATTTATAATGGTGTTAAATATATTGAAAAGTGTTTTTAATTTATAAAGAGGGTCACACTCAGAGGCTTGCTATGGGAGAGGGGTCACCAGTACAAAAGTTTGAGAATCACTGCTCTAGCTGGGCAGGGACTTGCTAGTATGGTGCTCTCTGGGAGGAGGCCTAATTTTAAATTCACACTCCCCCAGCCTGCCAGAGTCCAGATCTGTTAACCTTCAGGGTACAGTACAAAGTCTGCCTTCCCCCTCCCCTCCATCCCCCAACTCCAGCTGTGGGGGAGTTCAGGCTGGAGCTGTTTTGTCCACTGGTAGGTAATTATTTCACATTGGGAAAAGGAGCCTTTAAACTTTATGAAATTAAATTAGGCCAGGGAGCCCAGCATTTGGGATGGGCACCTAGTTCTGCTTTTATAAAGCAATAATACACTAAACAGGGTGCAGGCCGCTTGACTGTGTGTTAAGTGATGGTGAAATAGCAAGTCAGGCCAGGGGTGGGGATGGAGATGAGAGGGAAGAGCGGTTGTTGGAATCAGACCAGCACCCCCTGCTGGAATGTCAGGCTTTGCCAAGCTAGTCCAATCCTCGCTAGGGAGGGAAGTGTGTGTTGCTAGAGCAGCATTAGCAAAAAACTTCATCTGATAACAAACTGACTCATTCAGCGAATCCCGTGCATGGCTCAGTTTGCTGCTGGTGCACATGAGCCCGCTTTTTTTCTTGCAGTATATCTCTGTTGCTAAGCAGTCCACAAATCCTACAGGCAGGCACAAATTCCCACCTGGCAAAGGCCTGTTGCCTTGTGCAAATGGGAAGTGGCCTTTCACTGGTGATGGATCCCAAACACAGTTGTGCTGTTATTAACGTGAGCAGGGTGTATTTGAGTCCCAGTTTTAAAGCTTTGTGTTTTATGGAGTTGGTGGGTGGGTGACTGGGATGTGTACGCTTATGGCCTTCAAAGGGAAAACCAGGATCATGTTAAGAGCTGTGCTACCTGCATCTCTCTGCTTAGCATGCAGAGCCTGTTTTGGCACCTGGAGAAGAGTGTTGCAGACTGTGTATAGTGTTTAAAACACTGAGCAGTTACACAAGCTGATTGGAGACATTAGCAGTTTGCTGCAAAAGTAATGGAACTGTATGACGGACGTGTCCACCTAGATCTCGTGCCGGATTCTTCCCAACCCGGGCCATTGGGTAAGCAGTGAGAGGATGTCTGTAAAGTGTAAACAGAAATAAAGTGGAAAGTAAGGTTGGTTTGGTGGCATTAGCATGATAATGACAAAACGTGGGGAGAGAAGCCAGCTGGGCCAAGACAAGGAGTTAGATCATGTAGTTCCACAGTTGTTTCTGAGGGTGTTTCAGTTGCTTTGCCTGTTTCTGGTGGTAGCCAGCAAGAGCACTGGGGAAAATGGGAATGAAATGCACCTGCAAATATTGATGGGAAAGAACTGTTTGGCTCTAGCATGTTTCAGATGTTGTGCATAGGGAGGGAGCAAATTAAAAACCTAGGTTCATTTAGGAGCACCCAGTGGTACCTCTATCCTAATACGTGTACTGTTTTTCAGCAACAACCAGCAATGTACAGCTGCAGCAATGTTAAGCCACTGGCACAGGCATTTCTGGCCTCTTGGCCACTGTGTCATGCATGAGGGGCAAGGTGCCTGAACCCTGGCTAAACTAGTGCTGATACCATTGCTGCCACCAGTGCAGCTGCAGGGAGCTGCTGTAATACTGCACTTAATTTTTCTAGCCAAGGTCAGGAAGTGATGGCAAGCTTTTTAAAATGTGTGCGGTATAGCTGCATCAGGTGCAGCAGGGTTTGTCCCCAGAGGTGTTTCAATCACTGGCTGAAATCCTCAGTGCTGCCTGAGGCATTAGAATTAATGGCAGTTAAGCATCCAGATTCCCTAAGTGACTAAAAATCCCTTTCTCTGAAATTTAAATGCTACAGACTCTATTTCTAAGCAGTTGATAATCTGAGTTTAAATGGGAGAATGACGGAGAGGATTGTGTCAGCACTGAAGTGAAGACAAAGTGAATTGTAGTGGACTAGCAAAGAGTAGTTTCCAAACACATGCACCACTTTAAAATATGACTAATTCCCTAGGGACAAGTGGAGTATGTGCCTTTGAAAATCTTGCCTTAGCTCTCTATCTTTTGCATAATCAGTAATGGATGGGTACATCCATGAAATTACATTTCTTACCTAAAACATGCCATAGAAATCTGCTGTTTCCTGTGTCAGACTGCAGCCCTGATTTTCCTTGGTTTACAAATAAACCAGGCTGTATTTATCATTTAAATGATCTCTCCCAAGAGCTGTCCCATTCATATCAGTGACACTTTTGAAACATATTCAGGTATCTTTAAACACTGCTGTGCAACTTCCTTGTTCAATTTTACATATTCTGATTACATGAATAGTCATCTAAGACAGTAATAAAAAAAACAAGCCTCTACATTATTTTTCCATGGGCACTGTCAGGTTTATCAAGCCCCATATTTAGCTTGGTTTGTATAAACCCATCTTTAAAAACTCAGACCCCTCCCCCCCCCATGAATAAGTATTTTCATTATTTTTGTATTGCAGGGAACTGTATTTATTTAAAACATCCCTGTTGGGTTTGGATTTCAAATACACCACCATGGGATAGGGCACGAGAAACAGATATGGGGGTGGGAGAGAAGAGTGAAACGGGCCAGTCTAGTTTCAGGCAATCGTAGTGAAATACAGAAAATAATGGTATAAATGGGGGAAAGTAAATTTTAAATGATTAAATCTGAAAAAGCTTAAAAACCTACCTTGGACAAAGACCATTTTTGATAGTGATTTTTTTAACCTGATCATATCACTTCAGCAGTTTCTAAGTTTTTGTTGTGCTTAGTAAAAATTGTACATTGTGAGGTGCATAAAGCCAGCAGAGGGGTGGGGAGCCTGTTTTTAATCCAGATGTCTAGGGCATTTAGTACAAATGGGAATTTGTGCCTCCCATGATGCTATACCCCTTAGGGTTTTCACATATATGGAAGCTCTCTGGGTTACTGTGAAGCTTTTATTTAATAGCTTTATTTCATGCAAATCAGTATGTGAACACACCTACCACACTGACTTAACGGGGTGGGAGTGGTCAGCAAGAGCCAGGTCCAGTTTGTATTTGAAGCCAGACATTATGTAAGCTTCATATTAACAAAGTGTTGACAATGAAATGCTCATTGAACTCTGATTTTATAAAAAGGTTTGAAACATTCCACTACTCTCTCTTTCTGCTGAGGAATTCTCTCCTCCCCCCCAGAATCCTTTCAAGTTTGTTGCAATATAAATTTGAAGCACCCTCAAGTTCACGATGACTTACATTACTCTGTTAAAATGCAGTGGTAGAATTCAGTTAATGTAGTGTGCTGCCTGGTTACACTCAAAATACAGGCTTAGGGCACAATTTGTCTCATATCTGCCACAGTGGCTCTAGATTTTTGGTGCGATGCGCTTCTGTTCTTCCTAAGCATTAGGAACATTCACGTGGGGGTTCTCTGCCTCTAAGGAAAGCAGCATGTCTGAGCTGAGATCAGCTGTATGGCATAGAGAGTGGAGTTTTGCATTAATCGTATAATGCCACGCACCAGAGACGCATTCCCTTTGGCTTTACTGAGTAACCTCCCTTAGCACCACATGACTTGCAAAGGATTCTGGGGCTACAGCTTCAGCAGGACAACTGAATCAGGGAAGTGTTTTTAAATTGAATGGGGAAGTTTTTTCCCTTCTCAATTATAATTTGTTTCTTTTATGCTTCTGTGTGTAAAGTTGCTCATTGATTTTTAGACTGGCAATGCAGTATGCAAATCAACCTCTCTCTTGGAGGAAAACATGGAGACATATGGACTTGCCCCCAGCCTTTTTTAAAGCATGAGATGTGTTGGCTCTGGCACTGAGAGTTCCAGTTGTACTGTGATTCCTCACCTTGGGCTGTGCATAAGGGGAGGGCAGATGAGTGACAAAAGAAGGAAACAACGTAGTAGCAATTTTTATTCTTGAAATTGAAAGCAAGCTATTCTAAACAGCGCTTTGTGGGGGAAGGGTGAAAGCAAGGCCCAGGTCCCGTCCCCTCCTCCCCCCCAACCTTGGCATCTGAGCCTGTATTTGATCTGGAATTGTCCCCATGGAGGGCGCTCTCGCCCCCCTCCTCCTGACCAAACCTCCCATTTCCCAACCTCACCCCCATCTTTTCTACACGAGGCTGTGAATGTGAGCCTCAGCCTCAGGCTGGGGGGCTACTGGCTCTTTTTTCCTTTGTGAGTGTGTCCAGGAAAATTGCCTCTTGCATCAAATGTTGTCCTCTGCAGTCGCATGATAACACTGAAGATAGCTCTGACTGAGAAATCTCCACCCATGCATAGTGATGAATGGGTGTGGGCCGAAGGAGAATGGAGCATTTAGTTACTAAAGTAATTTAAACTTACTATAAGTGGCTTTTTATTGCTATTTGCTAATCAAATTTGATTCATAATATACTAAACTGACAATCAATTTCTAAAATACAGAAACCCTTTAGAGGGGGAGGATTGAATACGTTTTCAATAGAAAAGAACTGGGGTAACTTTGTCCTTAGAAAAACAGAGGAAAAGATTTGTGTGGTGGTGGTTTTCTGGAGTAATCACTCCACCCACTGCATTGCATCACGCTGCAGAAGACGTACAGGACAGTAACTACCTCCCTCTAGCTGAGTGCTGAGGTTGCCATGCCTACACATGTTGCTATGTACAAAGCTTTTATGTAGAACAGTGGTTCTCAACCTTTTTTCATTTGCAGACTCCTAAAAAATTCCAACTGGAGATGTGGACTGCCTTGGGGAATCTGTTATCTATACATGTAGTTTAAAGTCTTTTGTAGACCCTAGACATAGTCTGTGCCCCTTTCCCCCCACCCCAGGGGTCCACAGCCCACAGGTTGAGAACCACTGATGTAGGACACAGATTTAAATTTTGCCCCACCTGTGTTTTTAAAATGCAGGACTGCTCTGTTAAGTGACTTTGTGAAAATAGCACCTGGGGTTGTGCATTCATTCTCCCCAGCTCCAGCTTTGGTTTACAAGCAAGATCTTTTTTCTAACAGACAGCCCTACAAACTACCTTTTGGTTCTGAAAGTAAAGCTGGGTGCTTTCTGGCTTGTTCATGCTCTAATAATGAAGGCCAAAGGCCAGTGTTAGACCTGTAACACTGTGGGCTTAACTTCCTGCGGTTGGAACTGAGTTAATCCTCAAAAAGAAGAAGAGGAGTACTTGTGGCACCTTAGAGACTAACAAATTTATTAGAGCATAAGCTTTCGTGGACTACAGCCCACTTCTTCGGATGCATATAGTCTCTAAGGTGCCACAAGTACTCCTCTTCTTCTTTTTGCGGATACAGACTAACACGGCTGCTACTCTGAAATTTGAGTTAATCCTGTTACCCTAGGGGAAGAATCCAGCTTCCTCTCTCTACTGCAGCGCTGACAGGTGTGAAAAGCAATAAATACCTTATTTTAGGCACTAGGCAGCAGATCTGACTCTGAGTACACAGGGGAGAAACAGACCCGCTAAGTAAAAAGGTGCCATTTTTACAAAGTCCCTTTTCCAATGAGAACAGCACTTTACCTAGGTTACGTTAAGGAAGAAAAACCCCATGCCTGAAGAAATGCACTTTAAATCTTAAGATGGGTGTAGCTGTTGCTGGCTTTGTAGCCACTTGTACATGCAGCTGGATTGTTTTAGCAAGGGAGTTTTGGAGGGAGTGATGTTGCTAAACCTTTGGCTGCTGCCATTGCCTGCTGCAGCCTCATAAGCAAATGCAGCTCTACCTCCTACCTCAGCATCCCCTCCCTGTGCAAGATTGCGGCCCAGGCTACACTAAAAACCCAGGGGATTACCCACCCCGGCAACCGTGGCTGTAGCTCAGCATGGCGAGAGTGTTCTCTGAACAGGCACAAATCGATCTGTGTGAATGCTTTTATATACAAGTGGGCCTAAAAAAAGTGCCGTCCACTGTAGAGCGTGTTTAACACCCATTTATAATAGGTCAGAAGTTACCAGTTATAGTACAGCTAGGGTGACCAGACAGCAAATGTGAAAAATCAGGACGGGGGTAATAGCCTATATAAGAAAAAGACCCAAAAATCAGGACTGTCCCTATAAAATCGGGACATCTGCTCACCCTAAGTACAGCAGATGGACCATCAACACAGCTGAGGCTTAACTCTGGGCTAACAGGACTGAGCCACAACAGAGCTGTTACTGGTTTTTGTTGTTGTTGTTTTTTTTAAGTGTAGATACAGCCCTACTCAGTTCTATGGTTTTAAAGTCCAAATGTTATTCTTGTCTCACATGGACCCTGCTGTTGCCTGGTGTTTAGAGTAACCAAAAATATAATAATTAGGACATCTCTTTAAAATGCTGACCTATGAATCTGAAGCTGGTGTATGACACCTGTCCTAACACTTGAGACTATTTTCACAGGTAAGAAGTTTCATGCTGTACTAACTTCTTTTTTTTTTTCGGCGTGGGGCATTGTTAGATTCCTTATTTTAAAAAGGTGACGTTCACACTGAGTCTGCAGTAGGTTGAAGTGGGGCCCTGCTATGTGTAATTTGTGAAGATTGGAACTGGTCTTAAATGATTTTACAAGCTTCGCCCAAGCTGGTCCTCTAACCTTCCTTTCCTCTCTGTGACTCAGGCACACACCAGCACTTAGTGAGGGCTAGCTGGTGCGTGGCTGCTAGCCCACACTAATTGTTGATGGTGCTGATAGGGAAGGGAAGCAAGAGGACCAGGGTTTAAGACATAAGGGGGAAGATATACAATTGTACAAAACATTTAAATCAGTTTAGAAAAAGCTCTCAGCAAACAGCTTTAAGAACAATGTGAATGAAAACGTAGCAACTTGGTTAGGAACCTTTGAAAATTCTATAAATGTATACTTGAAATTCTGTTTGTATTAAAAACAAATTGCATTTTCTTCTTTCTTTTAACACTGTAAAAGAACATTATGCATGTGAGTGGTTTGAAAATTAAATGGTTTAATACTCACTGTTGTCTTTTTTGGAACTGACTAGTCTGCTATATTCATTCAATCTATTCTTTACACACACTAGTAACATGCCATTCAAACACAAGCTCTCCTGTGGCTGGAGCTGGCCCTGGGCCATCTTGTCCCTAGTCTTTCATTTATCGGTCCTCCCCCCATCTAAGCTCATGACCCACTTGGTTTCTCCCCGCCACCCTTAGTCACAGAGCAGAACTGATAACTACTCAGATGGTAACATCTTTGGTCTCCCCAAATTCCCGTTTGATTTCTCCCTCCTAGGGTTTCAGAGGTAGGAGAGGTGACCTTTTGATGGCCATTTTGAGCCCCTTCTTATAGGCATCAAGCCTGAAAAGGCCGTTCTGAATCAAGAGTCCTCTGTTCCTTGTGCAACCTGACAGCCTCTGCAGAGAACACAGCAGCAGTCTTGCTGAGGCAGCACTCTCCCCTCCCACAGCTGGGAGGAAAATGGCTTGCTGAAGTGATAGGGCAGCATAGCCCGTGGTTCTATCAAGCCCACTCTCCCACAGCAAGCGGGAAAGTGCTCAGCAGCAGAGAGCCTCCCAGAAAACACTGACTCAGAGGGAAAATAGCCTTTGGCCAGCACCTGAGGAATTTTTCCTAATATACAGCCTCCTCATCTGGTGCCCACACTCCTAGGCTGGATTAACCAATTCTTCTTCGCAGCCCACAAGAGAAATGGAAGTCAACTCTTCCTCACCCAAAGGCCACCCCTACAAAACTAGGGCCTCCACCTTCATCTATTTGAACTCCAGAAACATAGCTGCTGCCCCTGAAGCACCACTGTTTGCACATGCAAGTGATATGGAGGCCCTGCCCTGAAAACCGGGCCCAGTACTGGCTTGTTCTTATACCCTCCTTAACCAGTGAAAGGAGAAGGCCTAGGAATGGGACTCAGGAGATCTGGCTTCTAATCCTAGCTCAGCCACTGCTGTTAGATAAGTTACAGTCAACACTTTGAACAGTGACCACTGATTTTAGGTGCTCAACTTGAGATTGGGGCTGATTTTCAAAGGAACTGCACATCCTGACCTCACCCTGGAGTTTGATGCCCAGCACTTCTAAAAATCAGGCCTACAAAGTTCTCAGGCTGGGCACCCAAAAATCAGTGGCCAGTGTGAAAATGTTGAATGTAGTCTTGAGCCTTCCCTGCTGTAAAATAGGTACACACACGTCTCATAGGAAGCTGAGACTTAAGTGCTTTAAGATCCTCACCATAGTGGGGCTAGCAAAATAGCATAAGTCACTTGGTGGAGTTCACCACTTGTAACCTGCCCTTAGAGGCAAGTCAAGCCAGGGACCAGGTTATGGAAGTGAGGGATCAGAAGTTGGTTTGCCACAGTCATGGAAGAGACAGACGGTGGAGAATAGGTGATTAAAGAGATGGAGAGCTACTATGCAAACACATATATACACACACACATTATATAACCCAGAACCTCCATTATGTAACCCTCCATCCTCCACCTATTGTCTTTTCCATAATTCTGGCAAACAGTTTCCCCCCATTTACTCCTATAACTTCCTGTGAGCCTAGGTGGCAAACTGCAGTGATTCTGGACTCTACCTATTGGAAAGTCTGTGAATAGACTGAGCCAAAGATATTCATGCAAGTAAATGGCTTCTGACTGTGGTGGTACAACAGCTTGCGACACTGTGTTCATCTTTGCAAGCTTCTGTTTCCCTTCTGCAGAGTTCTCAGGTGATCAGCTTTTGATAAAGTTCAGTTGTTTTCGCTCCAGTGTGTTTATATCCATGTGGACTATAGCACAGTCTGACAGTAATACAAGCTACATTGGGACAGCACTGCTGCGGCTGCACTACAACATAAGTCTCATTACCCCAGGGAGTTCCAGCAATGCCTTTGGAATCTGCTCCTTTAGCTGGAGGTCTGGTGATTTAATAACGAAACCTACCAGGTTAAAGCACTTAACGTTCCCAGTGTGAGAGGTGAACTCGGCCACTGACTGGACCAAGGATGCAGCGTATTCTGTCGGGCACGTCTTCTACCCGTGAGTCTCGGCCAAGCACTAAAACACCTGATCTCTTTGCTATCTTTCCTCAAATACACACCAGCAGGCTTTTTCTGGCTGCAGAGTGCGCATAGCTTCTCTGCGCAAGCCACAAGGCCCCTCCTGGGAGCAGGGTTCTCCCAGCTTCTGGCTGCAGATTTTGTTTTCTCTAGATGTAATATGCTCCTAGAACAACTCTCACCTGTTTCCAGGCAGCTCATCTGTGCCTTTGTCCTTCCTCTGAGCAGCTCTTTCCAACCTACCTCTGTGCTTCGGGGGCAGAGCGCAAGCGGCAGGCTCGAGAGCTGGCTCCTCCTTGCTCTGCACCTCTCTCAGCCTTCCTCTTCGCCACTAGCAGCATCAGCACCTCACTTCAGGGTCGAGGGAGTGAGATGAAGGAAGCCACAGGCTGCAGAAGGAGATGGATTTTAGGGGGTAGGGACTGGAGCTGAGAACTGAGGTCCAATGAGCAAGAGGAAGAGGCTGCCCTGGAAAAGCAGCAGCAGGGAAGGGAAATATAGTAGTTTGGCAGCTTTTTCTCCCTGGACTACTGGGCCACCTGTGGAGCCTGCTTGAGGACACCGGGTCCCAGCCTTTCCACGTACAGACAGCACTGCACCCAGGCCATCTCCTCCTCTCAGTGCTCTCTCAGACCCCAACTCCCATGGAAGAATAGCAGCAAGGGATGAACCAAGGGGTCTGCTAGCCTTTTCTCACCTACAGTCTACGCAAGTTTTACACCATAAAGACAAGAGCCCAGCACCTCAGAAAAATAAAATCATTCAATAGCCTAAGAGTTTCAGTACATGAAGCTGCCTGAACCTGGGCTTATAGAGTTAAGATCTCAATTTTTTTGTATTTTGTTTGTTTTTTTTTGGGGGGGGGGGGAAGGGGAGGAGACTCAAAATTACAACATGCTCATAATACAAAAGCAAAACCATCGTCAGCCACTTGGTTTTTCCCTGTTGAAACTCCACTTCAGGGAAAGATACTGAATATTAGACAGTATGGAAAGGCACAGGCGTTCAGATCCTGGTTTAGAGAATCCATATAGAACACCCTTAATTCTGCCCAAGACCCACTGAGAACTAGGACACAATCTCACATGCAACCAACACATCTCTCTGCACTGGTGATTCCAGAAACTAGCAGATCATCTAACTTAAGTACCTTACAGTCAGTCATTGATAGGCCTATAGTGTCAAAAGCTGATTTAATGAGTTGCATAGGGGAAACCATTTACAGTGCATGTTTTATCAGTCCAACAAAACCCAGGAACTATGCTACATAACCTTGAGTGCCATCTACTGGCACCTTATCTATAAACTATTTACATAGATACATGTACAGAGCACCCCTAACATGTTACCGTAGCATTTAGACCAGGGATCTCAAACTCAAATCACCACAAGGGCCACATGAGGACTAGTACATTGGCCCAAAGGCTGCATCACTGAAACCTCTTCATACAACGATACAAAAGCATAGTAAAAAATGAAGGGTAATATAGTATGCTGTTAAAAGTCAATGTATTAACTTTTTAAAAACTAATGCAAAGAGGGGTTTTAATAAAATATAAACACCTGTAACTATTCCTTATGTAGTCAGTAACACCGATGATCTACACTAAGAGTTTATCAACGTAGCTGTAATGGCAGGAACTTTTTAAAGTAACAAAATATGTTGCCACTTTTAACAAACATTCTTCCCAACTACTCACAGCAAAGAATCATACATGCTGAACTTCATACCTCAGACTGCTCGTCTAGTCCATGAGGCCCTGCCTCTTCCCACCCCTTCTCCGCCCCAATTCCGACCCCTCCCTGCCCCTATTCCAAGGGTTCTCAAACTGGGGGGTCAGGACCCCTCAGGGGGTCCCAAGCGGTCAGCCTCCACCCCAAACCCAGCTTTGCCTCCAGCATTTATAATGGTGTTAAATATAAAGTTTTTAACGTATAAGGGAGGTCGCACTCAGAGGCTTGCTATGTGAAACGGGTCACCAATAAAAAAGTTTGAGAGCCACTGCCCTATTCCAACTCCTCCTCCAAATCCCCGCCCTGGCCCCGCTTCTTCTTTGCCTCCTCCCCTGAGCACACTGCGTCCCTGCTCCTCCCCCCTCCCTTCTGGAAATGCCACCAAACAGCAGTTCAGCAGCAGGAAGTGCTGGGAGGTAGGCAGAGGAGTGGGGACGCAGCACGCTTGGGGAGAGGAGGGAAGGCGGGGGCAGGTGGAGTCGGCGCCTATGGTGGGCCACAGGAAATAACTTCACGGGCCGCGTGTTTGAGACCCCTGATTTAGACTGAAGTGCACCTCCCTGCCTCAAGGCCATGCCCTTGTCACGGATAAGAGACAGGCTTTTATAGCTCTTCCTCAACAGGGGGCCACATTCAAGACAACTATTCAGGATTCAGAAACTGACAGGATAAGAGCACTGTGAAGTATAGCACAGACGTATAGCTACAAATCTATTCACTGGTGGAGCAAAAGTTAAGGATCGGAGACCACACTTGTATAGGAGACAGATACACAAAACCAAAGCCACACAAGCTATAGTTTCTCAACTCCACAAACTAACTGTGCAAATGAAGTAGATAAAGGAATTCTTTAAGCCCTTAATATGGGTGGCTGATTAGCAGGAGCTAGAGGCAGAGTAATGGCTGTTGCCATGACCTTAATTGTGGATTTCTGTAATTCTGAATGGAAGTTTAATGAACATGGAACTTTCAGGACTCATTTGCAGAGCTGATGAAAAAACCCATTTGCTTATGGGGAAAACCCTTTCAATAACTGACAGATATTTACAACTTTGACTGGCAGGTCCTTTTACTGGTGAATAAACAGATTTCAGTCAGGCATGTCTGACAAGTCGATACCATTTCAAAGCAGTATAGTGGAGTCATGCAACTCTTTTGGCTGTCAGGTGCTTCATGTACACCGCCCAGAGGTGTTTCTGCCACAGCTACTGGGCCAAAATTTCCCAGTAGCAATTACTGCAATTCATTCATGTGTATTAGGGTCCTGCCTAGAGACTAGAAGTTCCTGAAGGCCAACAGAGGGATGTAATGGGCAACTGCTCTCTGAGGGTACATCTACACTGCTTTGTAAGCCCAGGGTTAGTAGAATTCGAGTCCCGGTTTGAACCCTCCACCCTTGTGGGGTCCTAGGATCCTCACTCAGAGCCTTGGGTTAGCATGATGTGTATGTAGATAGAAGGGGGGTTAGGCTTGAGCCAGAGTTTGAATCCTGGATTTACATTGCAGTGTAGACATACCCTGACAGTTTTGCCATTGACTTCCATGGAGCAGGGTTAGGCCTTAATTTAGCATTGTTCTAATGCAAAATTTATTTATTTAATTTCGAGCCCTCCCCCTTACAAAATGGGACTGTCCAATGTAATCTAGATGGAACTGGGACCATCAATACATTGATTCCAATAAACGCATTCTACTTTAAGTAAATCAGTCTTTTGAGCCTGCTGTCTAATTTTGCATAGCCTAGGAAACCTTTTAAAAGCACATACCTTAATATCCAAAGCTTTCAGGGCAGTATTTCTCAATTTGAGCCTCAGTGTGTTAGTGGGCATTTTAACACCACTCACTCAAATATGGCCCAGCCTCCCCTATCGTAACAGAGGGGCAAGGCAGGCCAAATTTCAAGAAGTGGCATTCTGACTATGAGTGAGTGGGAAGATTCGCCACACCCCAGCAGAAAGTTTGATGTGCCCATCCACTAGGATAAGAGTGGGCTGGGGAGAAACACCCATTTATTAAAGATTGAGGGCTCTACGGGACCAGCCTGCTCCTCTCTCATGTACTGAAAGGTTATAACAAGGAAGAAACTGGCCATTCATATTTTAGCTTGCTGGATTTTTTTTTTTTTTTTTTTAAATTGGAAGATGTGATCAGAGTTACAGTTCAGGCCCGAATGAGGACGACGATACACAACAAATCTTGGTGCAAAATACCAGAAGAATCGAGCCTCCTTTTAATAGAGAGAATGCAGGATGGGACTTCTTCTGGTGATGAGAGCACATCACCCTCTCTCGCCTGACAGTGACAGCAAGGGGGTAAACAGCTTAATAGTTTACAGTCCCTAAGTAAGGGTTGTGTCAAATAACAGGACAGCTGCCCTGAGAGAAAGCTGGGCCTTCCCAGGAGGCCCTCAAAACTGCTGACCAGCAATACTGCAGAAAACGCTGCATCAGAGACAGACATGGGGAAAATGATATTTTATTGACTGGATACCCATGTGGACGGAGAGGCTGGGACCTGGCCACGGCTCCTTAAGGGCAGGGATTGGATATTCGGCCCATGAAGATGATGGTGTTGATGGCAACTTCCCGGATGAGCAGCAGGAAGGGCCTGTTAGCATTGAAGATCATTTTGTTCATGGGAAACGAACGCCCCGAGATCATAACTACGGTAGAAGCTGCTGCCTCACTGCCTTCCTCATTCACCTGCCAATCAGACGGAAGATGGGATTAACATACAGTCCTCATGTGCATAGGGCAAATGTGCATGCTGCAGCCCCCCCTTACTTCCAAGTTGGCTGGGAGTGCATGAGAGAAAAGTCACAGGCACATGGCTGTGAAATGCTCACTCCCTCTATGCAGAGCTTCCAGGTCCTGCCGGCTGCAGGTGGTACACCAGGCTTCTCCACATGCTACCACAGAGCACCCACCCCCTCTGCTACAGCTAACTGAGGATTTTCAAGGAGCGGTTTTAAAAGGTTCTCCCCCATTGTTTTATGGATCTGAAGCACACAGAAGAATACACAAACATCATCTTATGTGATAAAGTCATGAGACAGTCCTTTACATCTGGTTAACACTTGATGCATCCGGACCTAAGAGGCCAGATTTTCAAACTCATCCACTTCCAAACTCTGATGTGGACGTGTAACCCCATGATTTCCGGCACATGTGTAAGTATGTTCCTGTGCAAATCAGAGGGGCCTATGCATGCCTGAAAAACAGGCCCATAAGCCACCTGTGCTATTCTGATCAATACACTGACAATCCTGAATCAACAGGGGGAGGAAGGACTAATGCCCAGACTCTCAAAGGTTCTTGGACGCCCGACTCCTACTGGTTTCAGTGGGAGTTCACTGCCTACATACTTTTGAGGACCTGGGCCTAGCTGATTTAGGAGAATCTAGAGATGGAGAAAGATGAATCTAAGTTCTAAATCTGCAACATTAGCTGCGGAAGCAAGACCAGCATAATTTTAAAGAATCCTTATTGAGGTTGCAGGAACAAACTGTCCTGATGTGTAGAAAGAATAGTAAATATGTCAGGCAACCAGCTTGGCTTAACAGTGAAATCCTTGCTGATCTTAAGCACGAAAAAGAAGCTTACAAGAAGTAGAAGATTGGACAAATGACCAGGGAGAAGTATAAAAATATTGCTCAGGCATGCAGGAGTGAAATCAGGAAGGCCAAATCACACTTGCAGTTGCAGCTAGCAAGAGATGTTAAGAGTAACAAAAGAAGTGTTTCTTCAGGTATGTTAGCAACAAGAAGAAAGTCAAGGAAAGTGTGGGCCCCTTACTGAATGAGGGAGACAACCTAGTGACGGGATGTGGAAAAAGCTAATGTACTCAATGCTTTTTTTGCCTCTGTTTTCACAAACAAGGTCAGCTCCCAGACTACTGCACTGGGCAGCATAACATGGGGAGGAGGTGACCAGCCCTCTGTGGAAAAAGAAGTGGTTAAGGACTATTTAGAAAAGCTGGATGAGCACAAGTCCATGGGGCCAGATGCGCTGCATCCAAGGGTGCTAAAGGAGTTGGCTGATGTGATTACAGAGCGATTGGCCATTATCTTTGAAAACTCATGGCAATCGGGGAAGGTCCCGGATGACTAGAAAAAGGCCAATGTAGTGCCCATCTTTAAAAAAGTGAAGGAGGAGGATCCAGGGAACTACAGGCCAGTCAGCCTCACCTCAGTCCCTGGAAAACTCATGGAGCAGGTCCTCAAGGAATCAATTCTGAAGCACTTGGAGAGGAAAGTGATCAGGAACAGTCAGCATGGATTCACCAAGGGCAAGTCATGTCTGACTAACCTAATTGCCTTCTATGATGAGATAACTGGCTCTGTGGATGAGGGGAAAGCAGTGGACGTGTTATTCCTTGACTTTAGCAAAGCTTTTGATACGGCCTCCCTCAGTATTCTTGCCAGCAAGTTAAAGAAGTATGAGCTGGATGAATGGACTATAAGATGAATAGAAAACTGGCTAGATCATCGGGCTCAACGGGTAGTGATCAACGGCTCCAGGTCTAGTTGGCAGCCAGTATCAAGCCGAGTGCCCTAAGGGTCGGTCCTGGGGCCGTTTTTGTTCAATATCTTCATTAATGATCTGGAGGATGGCGAGCACTGCACCCTCTGCAAGTTTGCAGATGACACTAAACTGGGAGGATTGGTAGATATGCTGGAGGGTAGGGACAGGATACAGAGGAACCTAGATAAATTACAGGATTGGGACAAAAGAAATCTGATGAGGTTCAACAAGGACAAGTGCACAGTCCTGCACTTAGGACGGAAGAATCCCATGCACTGCTACAGACTAGGGACTGAGTGGCTAGGCAGCAGTTCTGCAGAAAAGGACCTAGGGGTTACAGTGGACGAGAAGCTGGATATGAGTCAACAGTGTTGCCAAGAAGGCAAACGGCATTTTGGGCTGTATAAATATGGGCATTGCCAGCAGATTGAGGGATGTGATCATATTCCCCTCTATTCGGCTTT